TGCTATTTTGTTTTTGGTTGTTTCTGTTGTTTGTTGCTGTTGTTATGCTTGTTGCTGGTGTTGTCGTGCTCGTTGTTGCTGTTGTTGTTGCAGTTGTTGTTGCTGTTGCTGTTGCTGTTGTTGCCGCTGTTGTTGTTGCTGCTGCTGCTGCTGTTATTATTGCTGTTATTATTGCTGTTATTTATGTGGTTGTGGTTGTTGCAGTTGCTGCTGCTGCTGTTGTTGTTGCTGCTGCCGTTGTTGTGTTTGCCGTGGTGGTTGGTGTTGGTGATGAGGAGGGCGATGCTGATCGTGATGATGATGATGATGATGATGAGGATGATGATGATGATGATGATGATGATGATGATGATGATGAGGAGGGTGACGATACTAACGCTGATGGTGATGCTGGTGATGCTGCTGATGGTGATTGTGATGGTGATGGTGATTGTGATGGTGATGAAGAGGAGGGAGGAGGATATTTGAGGTGGATGGAGTAGGGAGGAGGGTTGGAGGAGGAAAGAGGGAGAGAGGGGGGAGGAGGGAGGTCGTCGCCGCCGTGGTCGTCATCGCCGCCGCCGCCGCTGTCGTTGTGGCCGTCGTCGTAGCCGTCGCCGCCGCCGCCGCCGCCTTCGTCGTGGCCGCTGATGACCTCGCCGCCGCCGTTGTCGTCGTGGCCGGTGCTGTCGCCCTCGCCCCCGCCGTCGTCCTGCGCGGGGGTGGCGCAGGCTACCTCGACACCTTCCTCAGCGGCGACCTGCGGTGGACGAGCGCGCACCTCTCGGGACTCATTTCTGCCGCGCGTCCCTCCTGCTCGAGCCAGCATGGGGAGGAAGATGAGGGGGAGGACGAGGAGGAGGCGGAGGCGGAGGAGGAGAGGGGAAGAGGGGCAAGAGGAAGAGGACGACGTTTGATGCCGATGGTCGACGAGGACGAGGATAGCGGCGGCGGCGAGGAGGAGGATGAGGAGGAGGAGGGGGAGGAGAAAGAGGAGGAGGAGGAGCTGGAGGATGACCTGGTAATATTAATACTACTAATACTGGTATTAATACGGATAATATTACTAATACTAATAATCTTAATAATCACACTAATAGTAATACGAAGAACAATCATCCGCAGAGGAGGAGGAGGGGGAGGGGGAGGAGGAGGAGGATGAGGAGGAGGAGGACAAGGAGGAGGCGGAGGAGGAGGAGGAGGAGGAGGTGGAGGAGGAGGGGCAGGAGGAGGGGGAGGAGGAAGAGGAGGAGGACCAGTGTAAACCCAAGGACCATAAACGATGTTGGAATAAGCCTTCCCTTGAAGCTCCCTCTTTACAGGCCGCTACAATGGTTCATGTCCACTGAGGGAACTGCCTCGTTGGAAGACAAGGCTTTGTACCAACTATTATTCTCGGGACCTCACCGCCACGAATCAGCCTGACGTTGCTTCTTGACGGTCCAGAATGGTGCCAAAACGACATTCCTGGGATATCAAGAACGCGAACCAACGTAATTGTTGCACTGTTATAGTCCTGAATCTTTCCAGCACTATTTTTGGGACGTTGATCATGGGAACCCGAGAAGCTCTTGCATATTTTGAACTGAATGTGCGTGGCGCTAAGGCGAGGACCACATTTTGAAAAGGAGCCGCCCTCAATCCGGGAACCCTTGCATTTTTTTCACGTGAATGTGCGCGGCGCTAAGGCGAGAGCCACACGTTGAAAACCACCCGCTGTTGCCAATTTCTAAGCTTCAGAGTCATGAGTGGTGAGGAAGTCTCAGGCGAAACGCCCGTCCCGCCTTGAAAGCTGGTCTCGGAGTGCGACAGGGAAGTCTTTTTATCAGGAAAAGGGATGGAGGAGGAGGAGGAGGAGGAATAGGAGGAGGAGGAGGAGGACGGGGGGAGGAGGAGGAGGTGGAGGCGGAGGAGGAGGAGGAGCAGGAAGAAGATGAACAACATAATTATACATAGTAATATTAGTAATTGTAGAACTAAGAATTGGAATCCCAATGTTAATACGAATAATGAGAGAACACGCAATACGGATATACATATTAAGAGTACAATGGCTATTAGGAATACTAAGAGAACGAATCAAATTATTAGCAAACGTATTAATAATACATTTATTATCAGAAGAATATTAACATATTTTTATAATACTACTTGTACTAAGAAGAACACGAATCACAATAATAATAATCATACCACTAACACTATTACGAATCTTAAACTTTATAAGAAGACAGCGAAACAGAGGAGGAGGACGGGAAGGAGTACAAGTGCAAACCCTCCAAGTTCCCTCTTCATAGGTCCCTATAATAATTTTTCTTCACAGTGGGAAGTGTTTCGTTGGAGAGCAACCGTCAAGAAATCATCTATCGTGCCGAATCATCATTCCTGGGATTTCAACGACGCGAGTCATCCTTATTTTTTGCATCCAGACGATCCCAGATCGTGCCAGGAAGCCGTTCTGGGGTGTCAACACCGCGAATCAACGCGATTGCTGCGCCCTTTGCCAGAACACCATTCCTGGGACGTCAACCATATGAACGCTTGAAGCGGTTCAATCCGTCGGTTGAATGTTAAGACGGGTGCGCGCGGCGCTAAGGCGAGAGTCACACATCTAAACTTAACTGCCTTCCATCCGTGAAATCCTGACACACTTTTATGTCGAACGTGCGTGGCGCTCAGGCGAGAGCCACTTTTGTTGTGAACGACCCGTTTTCCATCCGTGAAGCAGTCGCAATGTCTGTTCGAGCGAACGTGCGCGGCGCTAAGGCGAGAGTCACATTTTGTAGACAACCCGTCTTCCATCTGTGACTCCATTTTGGCATTTTTTTCTGGCGAACGTTCGCGGCGCTAAGGCGAGAACCACAGTTTGAAAAGCAACCGCTCTCCAGCCGTAAAGCTCTTGCAAACTTTGAGGACGGCTGTGCGCGGCGTTGAGGCAAGAACCACAGTTTGGAGAGCAACCGCCCTCCTGCCGTGAAGATCCTGCCACGTTTTAAGACGAGTGTGCGCGGCCGTAAGGCGAGAGCCTCATTTTGAAAGTGACCCGCCCTCCATCCGTGAAGCTGCTGAAATTCTAGACGCTCCGCGTACCCCCACCAGCACGGCTGGGTTCGCAAAGTATCTGGCACTGTGCCCCAGTCAGCCCGATTGACACGCCCTCTGGACTCTTCCTTGCGGGCCGCAGATAAAAAAGTACCCTCACCAGCGTGCCCCGTTCGATGCTCCGCTTCTTGACCTTCGCCAGGGAGCCGCCCCCCCCCAAAAATGCCAACAAAAAAGTACCCCCACCAGTTTAGGCTTGCCCGTCGGCCCAGACACCCTGTTCGCCGCGTGCGCTCCTCGCTCGCGGCCGCGACCGAAAAAGTACCCCCACCAGCTCAGCTCGGCGACTGCGAATCCGCGTCCGCCCGCGACCAAAAAGTACCCCCACCAGCCGGCCCGACTAGTGTTCGGACGGCTTTCGACCCGCCTCGCGAGCTGTTGGCCGACAAAAAGTACCCCAACAGCCAGCTGACAGCCGTGAGTGCGCTCGCTGGATAATCAGGTTTCGCCCGTAGCCCGGGACGACTTCTGACGCCGCCTGCGCCTTCGCTTGCGGCCGCGAAAAAATCAAACCCACCAGCCCATCCAGTAACGAGGTCCAGGCGAGTTGAGGTGATCAGGGAAGTGCGGGAGCAAAGAGGAGGACGGCCGAACCGTGCGAAGGAGGGAGGAGGAGAAGGAGGAGGCTGGATGGACGGATGAGGGAGTGGGGAGAATAATGATGAACAGGATGAGGAGGGGTAGGAGGAGGAGGAGGAGGAGGAGGAGGAGGAGGAGGAAGAGGAGGAGGATGATGAAGCGGAGGAGGAGGAGGAGAAGGAGGATGAGGAGGAGGTGGAGGAGGAGGATGATGATGATGAGGAGGAGGAGGAGGAGGAGGAGGAGGAAGAGAAGGAGTAGGAGGAGGAAGGAGCAGCAGGAATAGGAGCGTAAGCAAACGGACCAGAGGTCTCTTGGATGCCTTTCGGAGCCTCTTGGGATATCTCTTGGGCGTTTCTTGGTGGCCTCTTGTGACGTCTTGGGGGTCTCTTGGCGGTTCTGGGGGGCTCTTGGGCGTCTTGGGTGCTTCGGGGGGGCCTCTTGGGGCCGCTCGGGGTCCTCTTGGGGGCCTCCTGGGGGCCTCTTGGTGGCCTCTTGGGGCCATCTTGGGGCCATCTTGGGGCCTCTTGGGGCCTCCTGGGCGCTCCTTAAGGCCATCTTGGGAGGACATCGATCAAAGAAGAGGGGAGCCTCTTTTAGCGCTGCCCCCCCCCCCCCCCAAGAGGCCAAAATGTAGCCAAAGCCCTAGTAAAGCCAAGGATTTCGGCTTCCTCGCCGAGGCCGTCTTGGATGCTCCAATGGGTCGCGGCACCTCCTGTCCAGGTCCAGGGGAGGGGGTAGCGGGAGGGGTCAAGACACCTACCAGGAGCAAGCCGTGTAGCTCACTCCCACCCGCCCTCCCAGCACATACGTAACACCAGACCACAGGACCAAATATTGAAACCTCCGAACAGGCTCTGTCAACAACCAAAACAACCAATGCAAAGGTCCCGACGGGACAATCGTAGTCCCGTCAGCTACGGTTCGAGTGCGACAGGAGAGGTGGGCGCGCTTACCAGCGGTGTGCTCTCGGCGCCCGTCGCGCAGCGCGTGCCCCTCGCGCCGGCCTCGCCAGGAGGGCGGAAGACAAAGGGATCGGCGCGCTGCTCGGCAGGCCTGTTGGACCCTTGTTGGCAGGCCTCTTGGAGCGCTCTTGGAGCCTCTTGGAGGCCCCTCGGGCCGTCTTGGGGCCGTCTTGGGCGTCTTGGAGCGCTCTTGGGCCGTCTTGGAGGCCTCTTGGGTCCTCTTGGGCGCTTCTTGGGGCCATTTTGGCTCGTCTTGGGGCCCTGTGGCCTCTGGAAAATCCACGCGGCCCAGCCCAAGAACGCCCAGATGCTCCGATGTGGAGGCAGACTGTGTTTTGTATTGTTTTTTTGGCACGGATGGTGGGGGGGGGGCCCTCATGGTGTGCGCATGGTTCCGGGTTGGCTGCCAGCCGGGTGGGGGAGGGGATTTTAGAATTAATTGGGAACAGTGATAAACCCTTCCCCGAAGGGGAAGAATGGGGTTGGAAGAGGAGCCGCCCTAGACCACCTATGCCCAGAGGGCTGGTGGGATTTTGAATTTCAGGGCCGTAAATGGTTAGGAGGACTCAGGCGAAACGCCCAGCCCGCGCCTACCGACACGTCTCTGGGTGCGAGAGGGGGATTCATTTAGGAGGAGAAGGGATGGAGGAGGAGGAGGAGGAGGAGGAGGAGGAGGAGGAGGAGGAGGAGGAGGAGGAGGAGAACGCTGAGGCGGAGGGCGGCGAAGGACGGAGGAGGAGGACGAAGAGGAGGAGGAGAGGAGGAGAGGAGGTGGAGGAGGAGGAGGAGGAGGAGGAGGAGGAGGAGGAGGAGGAGGAGGTGGTGGAAGGTTCGCGGAGGAGAGGGAGGAGGAAGAGGGAGGTGAGTGTCGCGGAGGAGGAGTGAGGAGGAGGAGGAGGAGGAAGAGGAGGAGGAGATGGAGGAGGGGAGGAGGAGGAGGAGGGGAGGAGGCGAGGACGAGGACGAGGAGGAAGAGGAGGAAGAGGAGGAGGAGGAGGAGGAGAAGGAGGAGGAGGAAGAGGAGGAGGAGGAGGAGGAGGAGAGATGTTGGAAACAGGGGCGTGGTGGCTCATTCCCCGCGGCCGTGCTGCCGTTTCTTCTTAGGGGGTGCGCCCTGTCGCTGGCACCCGGGAGGACATCCTCCCTCACTTCGGTGCTGAGAAAAGCCGTCTGGATGAGCGCACCCCTTTCCATGGCGCGCCTCGGATTATCGGCCGACGCGAATACCCAGTGCCCACGCACCTGAAGGCCTGGACCCCTTCCCCAGGACCGGTTTCTCATCCCTGGTTGTTTTGTTGACGGTCCTGGGGTCCCTCTCCATTTCCTCCCCTCTCCTCACTCCCCTCCTCTCCCCTCCCCTGCCCTCCCATCCTTCCCCTCCCCCTGTCCTCCCCCTCCCCTCCTCCCCATCCTCCCCTCCACTCCCCTCCCCTCACCTCCCCTCCCCTGCCCTACCCTCTTCCCCTCCCCTCCTCTCCTCCCCATCCTCCCCTCCCCCCCCGCCCCCTCCGAGCCATCCTGGACCACGACCGGCGAGCCCTCCTCGGCACCCTGCTCGCCCTCTTCGCGGGGCCCGCCGTGGTGTCCCTCGAGGCTAGCAGGCCTGCGCCGTACTGGAGCTGCCGGGTGCTTCTCGCAGGCGGGGCGGCGGACGACGTCGACAGCGACCGAACGTGACGGCCGAAGACGGCGTTCGACGACGGCGCTCACAAGCCGTCCAGGACGAGAACGAGAACGAGAACGAGAATGAGGAGGAGGAGGAGGAGGAGGAGGAGGAGGAGGAGGAGGAGGAGGAGGAGGAGGAGGAGGAGGAGGAGGAGGAGGAGGAGGAGGAGGTGTGGAGGAGGAGGAGGAGGAGGAGCAGGAAGTTGAGGAGGAGGAGGAGGAGGAGGAGGAGGAGGAGGAGGACCAGCGAAAACCCAAGAGTCATCAACGATGTTGGAATGAACCCTACCTCCCAGCTCCCTCTTCATAGGCCCCTACAACGGTGCAGTTCCACTGAGGGAACTGCCTTGTTGGAAGAACACCGCTTTGAAGACCCTGAAGCATGCCAAAACATTGTTCTCGGGATTCCAACGCCACGGGTCAACCTGACTGTCGCGTCTTGACGATGCTGAATGTGCCAGAACGCCATTCCTGGGACTTCAGCACAGCGAATCAATGTAACTGTTGCACTCTCATGATACTGAATCCTAGCAAAACACCATGTCTGGTACGCTGATCATGGGAACCCGTGAAACTCTTGCAATATTTGAAACGAATGTACGCGGCGCTGAGGCGAGAACCACATTTAGAAAAGGAGCCGCTTTCAATCAGTAAAGCTTTTTGCGAATTTTGACAATGAATGTGCGCGGCGCTAAGGCGAGAGCCACATTTTGAAAACGAATCGCCCTCCGTTTGTGAAGCTCTTGCACATTTGAAGAACATGAATGTGCGCGGCGCTAAGGCGACCCGCCTGCATTTTGAAAACCACTCGCCTTTGAACCATACAACTTTTGCAAATATTGAAAACGAATGTGCGCGGCGCTAAGGCGAGAGCCATATTTCGAAAACGACCCGCCCACTTTGTAAGCTTCAGAGTCATAACTATGGTGAGGAAGTCTCAGGCGAAACGCCTGGCCCGCCCTAAAAACTGGCCTCGGGGTGCGACAGGGAGAAGTTATGCACAAGGCACTGGAATGGAGGAGGAGGAGGAGGAGGAGGAGGAGGAGGGACGACGAGGGAGAGGAAGGGAGGAGGAGGGAAGAGGAGGGAGGAAGAAGAGGATGGAGGACGAGGGAGGGGGAATGATGATAATGAGGAGGAGGATGAAGATGAGGAGGAGGAGGAGGGGGAGGAGGAGGAATCTGAAGATGATGATCATGATGAGTAGGAGGAGGAGGAATAGGAACACGTATATCAAGAAGATGAATAAGAATAGTCATAAAGCACACCGCATGTTTCTGTATACGATGAGTAAGATAGCTATTGCTAATACGACGAAGAAGGCTCATACTACGCATACCACATCAACATGCTGAGACACGTCATAAGAACTAATCGCACGAACAAAACTGTTAATGCTGTTCTTATTTGTACTTGTACAACTGATACTGACACTACGTATGACAATAACAGAAAGGTGGCTGATTGTTATAATACTACTAACCATACGAATGCGAGCACTCATTAGTATTAAGAAGACTATAATCACACCTTTTTTATTCATAAGATTGGTGGTTATGCGAGTTCTACTACTACTATTACTACTTCTACTACTCCTACTCCTACTCCTACTCCTACTACTACTACTGCTACTACTACTATGACTACTATTACTAGTGCTACTACTACTATTACTACTACCGCTACTAGTACTACTAGTACTACTACTACTACTACTACGACTACTACTACCACTACTACTACTCTACTACTACTACTACTACTACTACTACTACTACTACTACTACTACTACTACTATACTACTACTACTACTACTACTACTACTACTACTACTACTACTACTACTACTACTACTACTACTACTACTACTACTACTACTACTACTACTACTACTACTACTACTACTACCTACTACTACTACTACTACTACTACTACGACTGCTACTGCTACTACTACTACTACTACTACCACTACTATTTCTTTCATTCATACTCAATTATTACTCACAGTAACACTATCAGTAATGTTAGCGTACATGTGAACACCATTAATGGAACTAAGAGGAATTTATTTACTACTAATATGAATAGTAATGATAGGAGGAAGTGGAGGAGGATGGGCAGGAGGAGGAGGACCAGTGCAAACCCAAGACGTGTTAGCGATGTTGCGATCAACCCTCCATCGAAGTTCCCTTTCCATAGGCCCCTTTGAGAATTTCATGAAGAGCCCCGTTGCAAGACAACATGTTGAACATCGCAGACCGTGCCACATAACCAATCTTAGCATGTCAGCGCCGGGAATCAGCGTTACTGTTGCGACCTGACGATCCTAAATCGTGCCAGAAAATCATTTCCTGGGCGCTAGCCATGCCGAAACGCGATTTCTGGAACGTCAACCAGAAGATTGCTTGAAACCGTTGTAAACGTGTAGGAGGATTGTACGTGTCGCTAAGGCGAAGGCTACAGTTTGAAAAGGAACCGCCTCCCATCCGTGAAACTCTTGCAAACTTCTGAGACGAATGTGCGCGGCGCTAAGGCAAGGGCCACATGTTGGAAACGGCCCGCACTTCATCCGTGAAACTTTTGCAAGCTTTAACAACGAATGTGCGCGGCGCTAACGCGAGAGCCACATTTTGAAACCGACCCGCCCTCCACCCGTGAAACTTTTGCAGTTTTCTAAGACGACTGTGTGCAGCGCTGATGCGGCAGTCGCAGTTTGAAAACGACCCGCCCTCTAGCCGCGAAGCTCCTTGCACCTTTGTGAGATCAGTGTGCGCGGCGCTAAGGCGAGAGCTTCCATCCGTGAAGCTCTTGCACTTTTCAAGCTTCGGCTCACATACGGTGAGCAGGTCTCAGGCGGAATGCCTGGCCCGCCCTGCCAACTCGTCCCGGGGTGCGACGGGGAGGAGTTGTTTATCAGGAAGATGGATGGGGGAGGCGGAGGCGAAGAGGCGGAGGAGTAGGATGATGATGATGATGATGATGATGATGATGATGATGATGATGATGATGATGATGATGATGATGATGATGATGATGATGATGATGATGATGTGATGGTGATGATGATGATGATGATGATGTGATGATGAGGAGGAGGAGGAGGAGGAGGAGGAGGAGGAGGAGGAGGAGGGGAGGAGGAGGTGGAGGAGGAGGAGGAGGAGGAGGAGGAGGAGGAGGAGAAGGAGGAGCAGGAGGAGGAAGGAGGATGATGATGGGGAGGAGAAGGAGGAGCAGGAGGAGGAGGAGGAGGACAGGACAGTGTTGACGAGGGGGAGGAGGGGGCTTCTGCATGGTTTCATAGGCTCTCGGTGGTTCCTGGGGCGGATCAGGAGTTTCACGGAAACGCAGCGGGGCTCTCCCCCGTTGGGTGGATTGTGCCTTCCTTGGGGACTCCCTCTGCCTTTCCTGGAAGGACACAGACATAGTCGTGGTGGTGGTGGTGGTCGTCGTCGTTGTCGTCGTCGTCGTCGTCGTCCTCCGCCAGGATCGGCGGCACCGGCTTTCAGGCTTCCGTGATCTAATTATTGTTATGTTAGCCGTAGGCCCGGGATATGTGAATGGTTGGCGCCCTAGCGACGATGGCGGGGAGGAGGGGCGGAGGGATGGGGAGAGGAGGGGCGGGAGTAGGGAATGGGGGGAGCGGGGTGGGAGGAGGAGAGGGAGGAGGGGGGTGAGGAGGGGGGATGAGGGGAGAGAGAAGGGAAGGAGTGGAGGGGGCTTCCCCCCCTCCTTGCCCTCCTCCCCCTCTTCCGTCCTTTTGTCCCTTGTCTCTCTTTCGACCCTCGCTTCCGCCCTCTTTCTCCTCGGCTTGGCAGCTGCGTGCTGAACAAACGGCCACCTCCTCCTCCTCCCTGCCTTCACCTCCTCCTCATCCTTCTCCTCCTCCTCCCTCCTCTACTCCCCTCGCTCCCCCTCCTCCCTCGTCGTTGTTGTGGTGGCAGCCGTTGTCATTTTTGTGATGCGATTCCGCCTCCTTTGTCAGCTCTCCCTCTCCCTCTCTCTCTCTTTCTCTCTCTCTCTCTCTCTCTCTTTTTGTGATCTCTCCCTTCATGTATTTATATGTATCGTTTTCTGTGTTTTGCCTCTCTCTTTTTCTGTCAGCTCTCTCTCTGTTTCGCTCTCTTGCTCGCTCTCTCTCTCTCTCTCTCTTTCTTTTCTCTCTGTTGTGTATATATATAAATATCATCATTATATATATAGGTATTTCTCTCTATGTACTCTCTCTCTCTCTTCAATCCCCTCACCTCCCTCTTCCCTTCTCTTCCTTCTTGTCCTCCTTCTACTTCGCCTCCTCTCTCCTCTTCCTTCCGTTTCCCCCCTGCCTTTCCTTACTATCCTCTTCCTACCTCCTTCACTCCTTCCCTCTCTCTCTCCCTCCTCCTCCTCCTCCTCCTCCCAACAATCCCTCTCGCCCCGTCGATTCCAGGCTGTGTGGGCTTCGGCATCCTGCTGACTTGCCTGATCCGCGAGTCTGGCTGGTTTGCAGGCCAGCATTGGGGAGTAATGAGGGTCGGCGCCGGAGGTTCCGCTATCGGGGGCTCCGATTTGGAACAGGCGATGGCCAGGACGAGGGGGAAGAGCGAGGAGTATAAGGAGAGGGAAAGACGAGGTGGAGGGGAGGAGGAGGAGGAGCAGGAGGAGGAGGAGGAGGAGGAGATGGAAGACGGAGGAGGATGGGTGAGGAGTGAGATGAGGAGCGGGAGGAGGAGGGTGAGAAGGAGGAGGTACAGCAGGATCGCCAGGGGAGGGAGGAGGACTGAGGAGGAGGAAGCAGGATGAGGAGGAGATGGGGACGAGGAGTCGTCGTTTCCCCGTCGTCGCCGTCGCCGTCGCCATTTTCGTCGAACGTCGTCGTCCGTCCGTCCGTCCGTCCCTCATTCTCGTCGTCTTGTCGTCTTGTCGTCGTCGTTGTCGTCGTAGTCGTCGTCATCGTCGGCGTCGTCGTCGTCTATCGTCGTCGTCTTCGTCGTCGATCTGTCCGTCCGTCCGTCCGCCCGCTCACCCGCCCGGCCGTCCGTCGTATTCGTCGTCGTCGTCGTCGTCGTCGTCGTCGTCGTCGTCGTCTTCGTCGTTGTCGCCGTCGCCGTCGCCGTGGCCGTTGCCCGTTGCCCGTCGCTGTCGTCGTTGTCGTCGTCGTCGTCCGTCTTTCGTCGTCGCCGTCGCCGTCTTCGTCGTCGCCGTCGTCGTCGCTGTCGTCGTCTTCGTCGTCGTCGCGTCGTCGTCGTCGTCGTCGTCGTCGTCGTCGTCGAGCGTCGAGCGTCGAGCGTCGAGCTCTGAGCGTCGCCGAAGCCTCGCCCCGCAGGGCACGCCTTCGCGGGCTGCCTCGGCTTCGGCTCCGCGGGCCCCGTGCGAACTTCGGGGGCGGGGCGTCGTCGCGTGCGCGGCACGAGCTCCGCCCGCGGCAGCCGCCGCGGGGCGGGCCGGTCTCCAGAGAGGAGGGGCGAGCACCGGAAGGGGACGACAGGGGGTGGTGAGGGGGGGGGGGCATGGGAGAGGGGAGGGGAGGGGGAGGAGAGGGGAGAGGGGAGAGAGGGGGATTGGCGAGGGGGAGGGGAGAGGGGAGAGGGGCAAGCTGGGTACGCTAGCGTTACATCTGACGTCCTATCCCTCCCTCCCATCCCTTACCATGGCGTAGATCTCCTATCTGTTCGCACAGTCGGATGTCGAGCAGTGCAATGATCCCAAGAGGGTACGCAATGGATGGAAAAAGATGGCGTAGAGGAGCACGGCAGGGTATAGCATGTCATAGCATGGCGTGGCATTGCGTAGTGAAGCATTGCATCACAAAGCATAGCAGCGCAAAACATGGCATCGCACAGTGGCGCATAACACAGCATCGCATTGCATGCCGTGGCGTGGCACCAGATGACTTGGAGGGTAAGCGGCCCGTCTACGAGGGGACAGGGCCTGTTCGGAATGCTGGCTCCATGTCCTTCGCAATCGTGCCTGCCCGATGTGGGTACTTTCAAATGCCAAGTGCCGTCCGCAGGCGCGGGAACGAGGCCTGCGATGCAGCGGGAGCAGGAGTTTGAATGACCGAAGCTCGGAAATGAGGGTGGCGCTGCAGCGGGAGCACCGTTTTGGAAGAACCCAAAACAACCGAATTGAAAAAACACACAGGGACAAAATAAATCATGAAATCCAGAGCGTAAAAAAACTACACGCGGAGAGGACGGGATACTCTCTGGACAGAGTCAGGCGAGAGAGGAGAGTAGTCTTCATACTGTGCAATTTCAGAAGGGGAGAGGGGAGAGGGGAGAGCGGGGAGGGGAGAGGGGAGAGGGGCAAGCTAGGTGCGCTCGCGTCATATCTGGCGTCCTACCCCTCCCTTCCATCCCTGACCATGGCGTAGATCTCCCCTCTATTCGCACAGTCGGATGCCGAGCAGGGCAATGATCTCGACAGGGTACGCGATTAATGGTAGAGCACGGCATAGCAGGGCGTAGACAAGTACGGCAGAGCGTAGTATGTCATAGCATGGCGTGGCGTTCTGTAGTGAATAGTTGCATCACAAAGCGTCGCAGCGCAAATAATGGCATTGCACAGCGGCATATAACATAACATGACATAGTATGGCGTTGAATATCAAAGCGTAACATGGCATAGCATGGCGTGGCACTGCGTAGTCAAACACTGCATATCCTAGCATTGCAGCTGAAGGCATGGCAACGCACAGCGGAACACCATATAACATTGCATTGCATGCCGTGGCATGGCATTGGAATTAATGACGCTAATGCTGCAGCGGGAGCACGATACGGAACGAGCGGAAGCGTGGAAATGAGTCCAGCGCTGCAGCGGGAGCATGATTCGGAACGAGCGGAAACGCGGAAATGAGGCCAGCGCTGCAGCTGGAACACGATTCGGAACGAGAGGAAACCCGAAAATGAGGCCAGCGCTTCAGCGGGAGCAGCATTTTGACAAAAGACCCAAGCGAAAACCCGTTTCCCGGGAATGCGGTGTGTAAAAGAGAAGTGCGCGGAGGGGGGCCGAATATCTTCCGGACGTCGTCAGGGGAGAGGAGAGTAGTATTCACACTGTGTAATTGTAGAGGGGAGATGCGAGAGGGGAAAACTAGGTGAGTTAGTGTCACATCTGACGTCTTACGCTCCTTCCCATCCCTTACTATGGCGTAGATCTTTTATCTAGTCGCATAGTCGGATGTCGAGCAGGGCTATTTTCCCAAGAGGGTACGCGATGAATTGAAAAGCATGGCGTAGGAAAGCACGGCAGAGCATAGCATGTCACAGCATGGCGTGGTATTGCGTAGTGAAGCTTTGCATCACAAAGCATAGCAACGCCAAACACGGCATCGCACAGTGGCGCATAACACAGCATCGCATTGCATGCCGTGGCGTGGCACCGGATGATTTTGATGGTAGGTGGCCCGTCTACGAGAGTACAGGGATTTCTGGAATGCCAGCTCCATGTCCTCCGCAACCGTGCCTGCCCGATGTGGGTGCTTTCGAATGCCAAGTGCCGTCCGCTGGCGCGGGGACGAGGCCAGCGCTGCAGCGCGGGGACGAGGCCAGCGCTGCAGCGGGAGCAGGATTTTGAATGACCGAAGCGCGGAAATGAGGGCGGCGCTGCAATCAACGTTGTGCAATTTAGGCGGCGACGAGTCGGCGACGGCGATAACATAGCCGCCAGACCGACAATCAGGCCCAAGCGACGGGCGGCGACGAGGCGGCGACGGGGCGGCGACGGCGATAACATAGCCGTCAGATCGACCCCCCCCCAGTCGCTTCGAACAGAAGTAATAACCCCTAAGTGCAAGCACTGTTTGGGGAATGATACTCTCTCTCTATCACTCTCTTTCTATCTCGCTTCTCTATCCGTCGTCTCTCTCCCCTTCGAGTCTCTTTCTTTCCCTTTGTTTTCAATTCCTTACCTCCCCTTCCCTCCTCTCGTCCTCTGCCTCCCCCTTTTTCCCCCCCGTCCCTTCTATTCTCTCTCCGGTTTCTTGACGTCTGGATCCGCTGGTTTCTTCTCTTACCTGCCCAGGTTCCTCTTTCGCCCTGATCGTCATTTGCGCGCTCAACCACGCGGATAGTGGTGGGCCGGGGCCGATCATAACGTGCTTCGTAGTGATCCGTCTGGCCATCACTGCTGCCGCCACCGCCAGTGCCAGCCCATCAGGCAGCTCACCCCGTTGTTTATCTGCATCACCGCTGCCGTCACCTTCGCCACCACCTCTGCCCTTTGCCATCACCAGCAATTTCCATCTGTTGCCGAGGGCCATGTTTCAGCGTGACCTCCATTTGATTTTGCATTGTCAACCCACCTTTCGGTTTGCATCTTTAATCGTTTGTCGATTGCACGGCGCCTCACTCCTAGTGATCATGTTACCATGGCCTTTGCTATTTGCCTCTTGTCGGCCTGCTCTCTCTCTGTGTCTCTATAAATGGATATACATATCTAGTATTTAGCTAGCGTGCTTTACCGTGATGTGCTATCATGCTCGATGAACGCCGCGTGCCGATGTATGGCGTACAGCTGCTTTTTGGGTTCGAGGGACGTTCGGTGCGCCGTCGAGCCTTGGTACGGATTCGAAGTTGCACAGAGTATATCGAGTGTTCGGTTTGACTTTTCCACGGTGTGACTGCCAACTAGCGATGTGATGTATGCTTTCTTGTGCGATTCTTGTGAGTACCTATTGGTTACTTTGGAGGTGGGTCCAGCGTCTCAGGGCACGCGCAGGGGCGGGGGGGGAAAGCTTGGTTATTTGAGAACGCGAGTCGGAGGTGGGCTGGAAGGTCAGAAACCAACACATTTGAGAAGACAGATGAGACGAGGAGGAGGAGGAATAGGAGGAGGACGGGGATGGAAAAGGGGGGAGGAGGGGGCGAGGGGGTAAGGGAGGGAAGAACGTGGAGGAACAGGAGGAGGAGGATGAGACAGGCAGAGGTTGAGGAGAAGGAAGGGAGCAAGGAGGAGGGAGGGAGAAGAGAGTAGGGATGACGATGACGATGACGATGACGATGATGATGAGGATGATGATGATGATGATGATGATGATGATGATGATGATGATGATGATGCTGATGATGATGATGATGATGATGATGATGATGATGACGATTCTGATGATGATGATGATGATGGTGGTGGTGGTGATGATGATGATGATGGTAGTGGTGGTGGTGATGATGATTGGTGGTGGTGGTGATGATGCTGATGATGATGATGATTCTGCTGCTGCTGATGAAGATGATGATGCGGTGCTGCTGCTGCTGCTGCTGCTGCTGATGATGATGATGATGATGATGATGATGATGGCGATGACGATGATGATGGTGGTGGTGGTGATGATGATGATGATGATGATGATGATGATGATGATGATGATGATGATGATGATGATGATGATGATGATGATGTCGACACGCTCTCGGTGGAAAGCATCGCCGCCCGTTCGATCCTCGATCCTCGAGCACTCTCTGTTTTCGGCTCAGGTCGTGATTCCCTCGGCCAGTAGGAACGATTCGGGCACCCCTTGCACTCGAAGAAACATATTCGGAGGGCCGCGCGGATTAATTACATCTGCGCTGCTCCTGGCTGACGCCGCCTCTGGCGCCGCCTTGGGGTCAGCGCCGGTCCAAAATTGTATGTGTGCGTCTGCACCCCAGGTCAAGGCGCGCGCCGAGAAATCCTCCGGTATAAGCTCCGTTGCGGGCGCTTTCTGGCCGTACAGCTCGGGAAGCGATATAACTATAAGCTGGCTATACTAGATGCTGGGTCGGACGCACGCCTCCATTCAGGCGATTGCAAACATGGATCAAGGGGGCGTGGATTAGCGACGGGTCCCGTTTCCATGGGGAATCGCGGACTCCCGCCGCCGAGCGAGGCTGCACCAGCCGCCTTTTGGGGAGGGCACCTTCCCCGATCCGTGGCCTTGGCGACCGCGCGCCAAATCCATGGATTGCTAATCCATGTTTGCGCGCCCCCGATCCGTGGGAAAAAACACACTGTGGGAAAAAAACACACACTGTGGGAAAAGAACACACTGTGTGTGTGTTTTTTTTTTTTTGTGTGTGTGTGTGTGTGTTTTTTTCCCAGGGGAACGCAGAACACCGGTCTTTCCTCGCGCGTCCCAGGCTGCGCCGTGCTGGTCACCGGCCTGCTCTCCCTGGTGACGGTGGCGACCGGCCTGCTGCAGGCGCGCGGGCGGGCCGCGCGTGCGCCTCGCCCGGCCTCGGCCGGCCCTCGGCGGGGATCGGGGATCGGGGATCCTCGATGCTTGCCCCTCCCCTCCCTCCCCTTCCTCCTCTCCCTCTTCCTGGATTCCTTCCCTTCCTCCTCTCCCCCCCTTCTCCCCCCCCCTCTTCCTTCCCTTCCTCCTCTCCCTCTTCTTCCTCCTTTGCCGCTCGGCGCAGCGCGGCGCCGCGCAGGACGGCCCTCGGGGGACTCGGGACCTCCCTCTCCTCCCTCCTGACCTCCTGACCGCGGACCTCCCTCCCCTCCTCCCTCCCTCTCTCCCTCTCCTCCCTCCCTCCTCCCTCCCCTCCTCCCTCCTCCTCCCTCTCCTCCCTCCTTTGGGCCTTGTGGTGGTCCAGTTTTTGTGCGCCTGCATCTGAGCTGCGGGCCCGCCTGCGGCACCGGCTCTTGGGCGCCTGTTGGGCTCTCACTTCGGCGGTTACTTCCCAGGGGGGATGTCGGGTCGGGCGAAAGGGGGGGATTGGGAAAGGGGGGGTTACGAAATTTGCTGCATGCAGCTGGTTTCGGCCCCGCCGAGGGGCCCCTTCCTCGATACATGGTGGCCTCCCTCGCCGGGAGCGCCGGGAAATCAGCTACGTGAGCTGATTCTCAAACCCCCCCTTTGCTATCCCCCCCTTTCGCCCGACCCGAGGATGGTACCCGCCAGGTAGTTTAAGTCGGGCCTGTCCCTCTACAGGGGGAATATTCCCATTCTTGTTTTGTTGGGTTTTTTCGTCCAAAATCCGCCTGCAGGAGGACATGCCCGACCTAAAGGTAGTTGCGAGTGCGACTCGCGCATTCGAGAACGACCGAACCGGTCATCTTCTTCCTCGATTCTCGTCGATAGTGGGGTGGGATCGTCGCCCTGCACGCGTGCCGATTGCATTTCCCCGGCGTTTCATGCCATAGTGATGATTTGCTCCTCCCCTCTCTTTTGCTTTCGCCGCCACTGGGTCCCAGCGAATGTTTCAATAGATAGGTCACACCGCGGGCGACCTTTTGGTTTGAAAGCAATGTGTAAGCATAGTCCATTGCATTGTTGCCATACTCGTCTCGGTTCTTGTGCTTCAATCTCTGAGCTAGTCTAGTGAGAAGATCAGCGGTGATAACATATTGCTCGCTGACCAAGCTTCGGGTTATCAGCTCAAAGGCTGGAAGTTGTAGTCAAGAACAACGGCTACAAGCGCCGACTTTGTCGGGGAACGTTTTGAGCCTGTTCTACGCATTGCAGAAATCATGGGCCAAGAGACCTCCCCCGCGCCAATGGCGGCGACAGGTGGGATGATCACACCGACAGGTCAGAGCCCAGAGGTATATCACAAGACTCCCCACCTGGTGCAACGACGCCCGCCCCCTAGCGACTACGCAGTTTGCCGGAATTTTCGTAGAGTGGCAAATCGTCGGCTGCAATTCCTGTGCAAATCAATTCTTCAATTTGCAAGCCACCAAGATGATGTGTCCAATAGGCTAAGAGCGCCATGGACGATATCGTTGGGCCGACCCCAGCGGTAGCGAAATCGAAGAAAGGCCGCTGTATCCTCCACAGCGACTGGAGGCCTCGTCCATGATTCAACCCAGAGCGAGCTTCCAATATCCTGTGCTCGCTCTCGCATCGGTTTGAACACAGTAGCGTCGTCTATTTTATTCGGGAGGAACAAACGCAAACCTCGAGCAATGAAACCCACGGCCATTTTCCGTGCGGACGAGAAGTCGGTTCAATGATTTTGATTCGTTGTATACAGGGATTTGACCACATGCACCAGGACGTCGCAACGAAGTGTTTTGACAGGAAAAACCCGTCCGTGGGAGCACCTGATGTGTACGAGTTGGGAGGAGGCGTGGCACGACTTGCCGGAGAGCGAAGGGAGCGGTGCTGTTATCGAGCAGCACAGCTACAGCGTATCCTGGAGGCTTCGGCCTGTGCTGATTTGGTGCTCTGTAACAGGATTGTGGCGAGCTCACTTCTCTTGGGCGATTTTAAGCATCCGCATACAGCTGAGAGTTCCCCTGCCGCCAGCAACCGACCGCCTGCGGCAACACGGTTCCTCGCCCACACTCTTCTGCCTTTTACCTTTCCCTCTCCCCTTCGCCTCCCCATGCCCTTTCCCAGCCAGTCTCCTGTGCTACTCCCCTTCCCTCTTGCCTTCCCCTCTGCTTGCCCTCCTTCTTCCTGCTTCTGCTGCTCCTGCTCCTCCTCCCTCCTCTGCCTCCTTCCTCATCCTCTTCTTTCCTCCTGCTCATCATCCCGGCCATCCTCCACCTCCTCCCTCATACAAAGCCCTCCTTCATGATCGCTCCTCGCACGGTGGGGTCTTTTTTGGGATCAGTGTCCTCCAGGGCACCCCAGTCGGCGGACAGAAACGAATTCAGCGCAATGGGACTGGCGTGGGAGGATGGGCTCTCAGATTCGGCTCGAGCGCACCCAGCTTGTCCCCTTGCCCCCTTCGTTTCCCGCTCCGCATGCCGCGGGCTCTGAGGGTGCAGTGCCGCGAGGCATGCCGGATGCGTCACGATTTGCGAAGGAGCGTATGCTGCGCCACCCTGGTGAGCGACGGAAGAAAGCGGGGATTCGTGCGTAAGCTGTCCGCGTAAGGCCGCCCGTAAGCGCCCTCTTCTCCACGCGGCGTGCCACGCCTGCGGCCCGCGTGCGCCTCGCAGCAAGGTCGCCATGTCATGTGCGTACAGCACCTTCTTCTTTGCTGTGCTCCAGTGGCCTTGGTTGCCCTTTTTGCCTCTCCCCATCCTCTTCCATCGGCGGACGATTGCTGGCAGCCAGAGGGGGGGAGCGGGGGTAGGGTGAGAGTGAGGTGAGCGGTGACGGGAGAAGGGGGATGGGGACAGGAGGAGGAGGAAGAGGAGGAGGAGGAGGAGGAGGAGGAGGAGGAGGAGGAGGAGGAGGAGGGCAAGAAAGGCAGGGGCGAGGGGACGCACAAGTCGACTTCGTTCCCGTGTGCTCGTCAGGCGGGTGCCCGCTCCAGCCCAGAGCTTCCGTGCACCACCCCTTCGTAGCTTGTCCAGTTTCAGCTGCTCCCTCCTCCTCCTAATCCTCCTCCTCCTCATCCTCCTCCTCCTCCTCCTCCTCCTCGTCCATCTCTTCGTCCGTCCTCCTTTTCTGTCTCCTGCCCCCCTCCCTCCTCCTCCTCCTCCTCCTCCTCCTCCTCCTCCTCCTCCTCCTCCTCCTCCTCCTCCTCCTCCTCCCCCTCCCCCTCCTCCTCCTCCTTATCGTCCACCCTCGCCTCCCATCCCCCGCCAGGGTGGCAAGCTGGCCGGGCTGTGCCACTTCCCCTCCTGGGGCCTGGGGCTGGGAGAGGCCCGGGTGCCGGCCGCGCTCTCTCCGGCTGGTTGTGGCGGTGACGGCGGCGACGACGGACAGCAGCGGCGGCGACGACAATGAAGTAGGAGGATGATGGTGGTGGTGATGATGACGACGAGAGCAGGAGGAGGTGGAGGTGGAGGCGGAGGAGGAGGAGGAGGAGGAGGAGGAGGAGGAGGAGGAGGAGGAGGGTGCGGAACGTGCGGAGGCCGAGATGAGGAGGAGGAAGAGGAGGAGGATGAGGAGGAGGAGGAGGAGGAGGAGGACGAGTAGGAGTAGGAGGAGGAGGAGAAGTTGGAGGAGGAGGAGGACGGGGAGAGGAGGAGGAGGAGGAGGGGGAGGAGGAGGAGGAGGAGGAGGAGGAGGTGGTGGGGGTAGGCAGGAGGCGATGATGATGATGATGATGATGATGATGATGATGATGATGAGATGATGATGATGATGATGATGATGATGATGATGATGATGATGATGATGATGATGATGATGATGATGATGATGATGATGATGATGCTGATGCTGATGATGATGATGATGATGATGACGACGACGACGATGACGATGACGATGAGATGATGATGATGATGATGATGATGATGATGATGATGATGATGATGATGATGATGATGATGATGATGATGATGATGATGATGATGATGATGATGCTGATGATGACGATGCTGATGATGATGATGCTGATGATCATGATGATGATGATTCTGAGGAGGAGGAGGAGGAGGACCAGCGTAAACCCAAGAGTCATCAACGATGTTGGAGTAAACCCTCCCTCCAAGCTCCCTCGTCGTAGGTCCCTGCAACGGTATATTTCCATTGATGGAATTGCCTCGTTGGATCACACCCGTCTGAAGACGCTGAAGCATGCCAAAACATTGTTCTCGGGATTCCAACGCCACGCATCAACCTGACTGTTGCGTCTTGAGGATCCTGAATCGTGCCATAACGCCATTCCTAGGACTTCAACACAGAGAATCAACGTAACTGTTGCACCCGCATAATCCTGAATCCTTCCAAAACGCCATGTCTGGTACGTTGATGATGGGAATCCGTGAATCTTTGGTCAGTTTTTAGAACGAATGTGCGCGGCGCTTAGGCGAGAGCCACATTTTGAAAATGAACCGCCCTCAATCCGTGAAACTCTTGCAAATGTTTCAAAAACGAATGTGCGCCGCGCTAAGGCGAGAGCCAGATTTTGAAAAGGAACCGCCCTCAATCTGTGAAGCTCTTGCAAATGTTTGAAAGAGAGTGTTCTACCGCTGCTTGCGGAAAACCGGGGGGGTCACTGGGGGTTCCCAACCCGTCCCCCCCCCTCACCTCGAAAACCGTGGGGGGTTCACTACTGGTTCGAACTCCTCCCCCCCGAGTCCATCATGAAAAGAGGGGGGGGGTCACTACCGATTCGAACCTCCCCCCCTCCCTCGAAAACGGGGGGGGTCACTACCGGTTCGAACCCCCCCCCCCTCGCCGCTGGCAAACGATTCCCGCTCCTCGGGACAGTTGGACAATGGTGGGGATGCTGGGACAGTGGTGGGAACGGTGGTGGTGGGGACAGTGGTGCGGAGACAGTGGGACAGTGGTGCGGACAGTGGTGGGGACATTGGTGAAGGCGGTGGTGAGGACAGTGGTGGGACAGTAGTACAGTGGGGAAAGTGGTGGGGACAGTGGGGACAGTGGGACAGTGATGGGGACAGTGCGGACGGTGGGACAGCACAGTGGGACAGCGGCGGGGACAGTGGGACAGTGGTGGGTACAGTGGGGACAGTGGGACAGTGGTGGGGACCGTGGGAAAGTGGGGAGAGTGGGACCGTGGTGGGACAATGGTGGGGAGAGTGGGGACAGTGAGACACTGGTGGGGGCACTGGTGGGGACAGCGGGGACAAAGGTGGGAACAGTGGGGACTGGGACAGTGGTGGGGACGGTGGTGGTGGGGACAGTAGCGTGGGGACAGTGGGAATGCGGTGGAAACAGTGGGACAGTGGAGGGTACAGTGGTGGTGGGGACAGTGTTGAGGGCGGTGGTGAGGACGGCGGTGGGACAATGGGGCATAGGTGGTACAGTGGGGGCAGTGGTGAGGACAGTGGGGCCAGTGGTGGGAACAGTAGGACAGCTTAGTGGAACAGCGGCGTGGACAGTGGGACAGTGGCACAGTGGGGACAGTGTGACAGTGGTTGGGGCCGTGGAGAAACTGGGGAGGGGGGTTCGAGCCGGTAGTGACTCTGGAGGAGGGGGGGAGGGGTTTGAACTGGTAGTGATCCCCCTCTGGTTTTCTGGGGGGGGGTGAGGGGTTCGAACCAGTAGTGACCCTCCCCCAGCTTTCCGGAGGGGGGGGGTTAGAACTGGTAGTGGCCCCCCCCCAGTGTTCCCGAGGGGCGGAGGGGGGGGGGAAGGCCTCCATGGAGGTATGTCGGAAACTATTTTGGACCACCTTCGGCTATCGTGAGCCGCCTTTGGAGGCCATCTTGGAACATCGGAGGCGCTCCTGGAGTCATCTTGGGTCATTTTGGACGCTCTGACCCTCGCGACCCCCCCAAAAACCCTCCAGGAGAGGAGGGGGAGGGTACCCCTCCCCGAGGGGAAGAGGGTTTGTGGAAGAGGAAACAAGCATGGTCAGACCTCCTTCGCTCAAAGGGCTGGTGGTATGCTCAATCGATCTGCGCTGTTGAGGTCTGCTCACCAAC